ATCTGTCTCTCTCCTACTTGAGTGAGCGATGCGTCCGCGTGGACAGCTGCTATACAATAATACATTTCCATTTACCTCCTTCTCTATATCCATACAAAATATCTATCAAACAAATAAAATTAAAATTTTCTTTTGAAAAATGAAACCATTCCATCAGTATTTTCTTATGACGTTGTCACGTTCAACTATCGTCAGTAAACCAACTTTACAGACAACCGATTTTTTTGTTTGGAAAATTGCCTTTCATTCTAAAGAGTAAAGAATGTGGTATCTGTCACATATTCTTATTTCAGTTTTTTTAAATTTTGTAACATTACTGACGTTAAATTATTAAATCATATCTAACTGCGCATACAACTTTTACTGATTTTGTTTTTTTTTTTATTGCAATTGTTTCTTTTTATTCCACAAGAATATATATTTGAATTAATAAAATTACAACGTTTCTCAATTTTAATGTTATTCAATTTCACTGTAACTTAATTTAAAAATATCTTTCATTATTTCTTACAGTAAAATTAGATTATTTCATTTTTCCACTTTAAGGCATTTACCTTGAAATATGTGCAACGTTAAACGTAAAACGTTTAATGACATTCTTCCCTTCACCCTTGTTCTCTTAACAATTATGCATTCTTTCATTATCTTAATCTTCACAATCTTCAGTCTCTTCAACCATTTCTTCCACTTTTTAAATTGTCCTATTGCACTTTAAAATACTTAATAATTGAAATTTATTTGTACATTCAATTACAAAAATTTTTCTTTCATTTCAAAAAATACGTTTCGAAATGTCTGGATACTGTAATCCGAACGCATCATAGTTCCGAGCAAAGTATAAATTTTGGGTGTTCGGATTATAGAGGCGCTACTGTATCTACGTTTCATTTAAAAATATTATTTCTTATTCCCTCACAAACTCCTAAACAATTCTGTTTTTATCTTTTCCTTGTCACTTTCCAAGCCAACACCTTCACATTTTTTAGCATTCTCATCTCTTCATGTATTCTTAGTCTCACATAAATCCTCGCACCCACCTATCCATACATTCTCAGTCTTATACTTATCCTCGCCCTCATCTTCACACAATTTGTCACCCTGTCTCTTCATAAATCCTTACACTCACGCTTTCATGCATTTTCACTCACATGGAAATTCTCACATTACCCTTTGATACATTCTCACTCTTATACCTATCCTCACCCTGATCCTCACATAATTTTTCACTCCTATCTCTTCATGCATTCCCACAGTCACCCTTTCATGGATTCTCACTCACATGGAAATTCCCACCCGACCCTTTGATGCATTCTCACTTTCGTATAAATCTTTACCCTCATCTTTTAATGCATTCTCACTCTGACATAAATTCTCACCCGCACCTTTGCATTTTAACTCTCATATATGTTCTTGTACCTTCACAATTTTCACACTTTACCTCACCCTTGCATGCAATCTCACTTTTCCTCCCGTTCATTCTTACTCTTTTGTAACTTTCTCCCCAAAATGAGATCTCTTTACCTAGGTTTTTATTACAAAGAGATGTACAATAAATTCGATATAAAAGCAAAAGTAAATTATAAATATTCAAATAAAACAAAAGGTAACACGTTTCAACATACCTAAACATATTTGAATTTGACCGGTCTTTACTAATGCATCACAGTAAGTATTATAATTATATTAAATAACCCACTCTTGATAACCACCAATTGGTAGAAACGAATTCGTCGAAATTTTATATTAAAACGTTTTACCCTTTGTTTTATTTGTTATAATATTTCATTAAAATTGCGCCATTAACTTCATCTCTATTATTAATACTCATAAATAGTTACATCTTAAAATGAATTAAATTAACTTCTTAACTAAGTTTCCAAAAAGTAGTAACTATTAGGCTTAGAAAGTTTGAAAATTTGATTTTGTTGTAGCTACATCTGCATGACATCTTCAAGGCGTACAGGACCTTCGGGCGTACAGGATCTTCGTGGGAGCGTTCGTACTGGGAAAGATACGGTGAAGCTGATTTGGCCACGTTGGTAAGTGTTCCCCATTGTCATTTATTAACATCATACAATTTATTTTGTAATTTGCCTTATGTCATACGAAATTAATCAATTCAATTTACATTGTATGTATATTTTTATTTCGATGTTCACTTTTAATTCTAAAAAGTAAAAATGAAGTACCTAACATCTTTCCTTTTTCATTTTTTTTTTTCAACTTTCTAATACCCACTTCATAGTCTTGTCTTTTGGTTGTTCACATTAAATTACTAAACTATTTTTAAAATTTGTATTGTAATTTTTTAAACATTAAAACTGCGCTTTTAAATTCTATTTGTCTTTTTTTGCTGCAATTCTTTCTTTTTATTCCACATGAGTATAAGTGTTAACATTTATAGAATTAAAATCTCTCCATATTATTATTATTAAATATCGCTTGTAATTTAATTTCAAAATATTCTCCCTTACAATAAAATTATGACAGGATCAAACTGGCACCTTTATTATGTAATGTAGCTTTTATTAATTTTATTTTGTTTACATCTTTTCTCACTTTAATGCATTTAACTTAATTTAAATACTTATAATTGTAAACCTTTGATGACATTAACATCTTTTTATTTTTCATCGATCTCTTATTTGTAGCATCAACTTGCACACTTTTAAAATTTAACGTAAAATTTTGTTCAATTAAATATAACTTGTTTATATGATTTTGTTTTGTATTTACGATTACTTTTTTTAGGGTCATTTTTTATTATTTGTGGTCAAGTCATTATGTATATATTTTCCCTCTATTTTGTAAAAGTTGGCGCAGTTTTTCAAAATTTAGCATTGAAAAGCTTTTTTCTGATTGTTTATAAAAAACAGGTTTTTTTCGTACACATACAAAAAGTACCCAATATGATCATTGCAGCCAAACTGTATGTTTAATAAAAATTTTTCAAACAAAACTTGTTCCCTATTTTAATACAAGGTCGTCTGTTATCCAAATTTGATTTATTATACGGAGTCGAAAATAAAAAAAAATTCGTTTAAATGGCAGCCATGTGAAATATGAGTCTAATGAAAAAAAGGTCTAGGAAAAAGTATTGAGAATGTCAAAATATGGAGCTATACGAAAAATCGCGCCCATATTCAAATATTTTTTGATTTCCTTTTAGTGATTTCATTCGAAAAAAAAATAGTGAAATATCGCTGCGATTTTTTGCATAGCTTCATATTTTGTCATTCTGAATTTTTTGAATACTCTGTATCGTAAATAAAACTGAGATGCTACACGTTAATTTGAATTAAAATAGGGAACAAATTTTGTTTGAAAAAAGACATTAAATTGTATAGGTGTATATTTTTGCATTTTGAACTTGTTTCGATTTAAGCTACATTTCACATGACTGCCATTTAAACGAAACCTTATATTTTCTATTTCTGATCACTCTGTATAGTAAATCAAATTAAAATAATACAGAGGATCTTGCATTCAAATAGGGAGTAAATTTTGTTTGAACAATTTTTCGATTAAACTTGCAGTTCATATTGCGTACTTTTTGGGAAACCCTGTATATACACATGGCTAAAGGAAATACATTCGCTTGAAGGAGTTAAAGTGGAGTTCAATTACGATCAATTTTGTCATGTGGTACCCTAGACGATAACAGATAGTTTTTGAGATGAATAATTTATTTGTATTTTCACGTTTAAATGCTAATTTTTGACAAAAAAAGTTAAGTAGCTTAAAAAATAATCTTTGTTTTATACATTTTTTGATAGCTAACATCCCTGCACTTCCTCAAGATGCACTTAGAAAAATAATTTATGAAAAATTACTACAACGTTCTAGAGGTCGTTTTGTAGAAAATGCAACTCAAATTTGTAGTAAGATTAACTAACGGTAAACTTAAATTTGACTATAAAATTGTAGTGGTAAATTGTAGGAGAAATATCGACAGGGGCTCAGACTAATTCCTTGCAATTTGAATGAAATATTTACTACAACAGCTTCGTGAATTTCATTACAAATTGTAGTAAGATTAAATAAATTTTGTAGAAAATATAAAGAAAAAATGTAGAAACTTTTATTGAATATTTATTTGCATTTCAATTTTCTGTTTTGCCTTAGATAAATGCATACCCACAACACTATATTGTATAATTCTTTCTTAATTGTTGTAAACAAATATGCTACAATTTTGTATAATTTTTTTTAATTATTGTATAGAGATATGCTACAATGAAAAGTAATTTTTAAGAGGAATTTGCACTAGGTACTTATTCTTTAACGTTGTAGTAGAGAGACAAGTAGGAAAAAAAGTAATTACAATATTATATTAATTTTCACTACAACTTGTTTCTGTCCCTATATTCGCTACTATTTGTAATGAAAAGTTCTACAATTGTAGAAGTTTGTTCTACAGTTTTCTCTGAGTGTAACATTAAGCTGAAGTAATAAAACATTAAATTTTATGTTGTAGACTTGATATTGCATAAAATTTAAATAAAAATCCTTGTATATTAAAGCAACATTATGTCAAAAGGTATTGTAAATTTGCATTTAAATAAATTCCGTAGTTTAGTAGCTATGCTTTTTCAATAAATGACTTGTAAATTACATCAATTTTCATTTGTTTCAAATAAAATAAAAGATAACGTTTAGGAGAAGTTAGTTTTGTTCTGGATGTTTCTTTCGTTTTTTTTTTTATCAAGTTTTCTGTAAATGTTTATACCATTTTAGATAGCTACTGAACTAAAGAATTTATTTTAGTACCTGCACCTACTATATTTTCCATACAATTCAGTTAGCATTACAAAGGTCTTTTTTTTAATCACTTGCGATTCCAAGTCCACAACATAACAACATTTTTAAGGTATGTATTTTTTTATCAAAAATCAGCATTTAAAGATAAAAACATAAAAATTTAATTATCTCAAAAATTAACAATTATCGGCTAGGGCACTGTGGTAGGTGACAAAATTGATCTCACATGAGCTTTGATTTAACCCCTCCATGGAAATGCATTGATTTCCCCGTAGTTCAGAAGTTTAATTATGATTGTAATGAAACGTAAACGCTAACATATGCTCTTATATTAATTAATTTGTATTCTCATTTAACAGCCTACTTACCTGTTCATAAATAACAAAAACTAAACACCATCATTTACAACAATATCTTTTAACTTTCCAAAAATAAACAATTACGTTATCACTTCCACATTTCTTTTAAATTCTATGTTAGTCTACTTTTTATTGAAGTTCTCTATAACCTGTTTAACGCCGGCATTTATAATTAACTTCTGGGTCTTTATTTTTGATTCGTCCTTTTTAGTTTTTTTTTGCACAGTTAATATTATAGTTTTAGTAAATGGATACTGTTCATTCATTAAAGTAATATTTTACTATTTTTACCTTGTTGTAAGCTTTTAATAATAGATAACAAAATTATATATCATCAATATGAAGGATGACATCATTCTACACTTACAACAACCTTTTAATTTTCCAGAAGTAAACAATTACCTTATCACTTTCACATTTCTTTTAAATTCTATGTTAATCTACTTTTTATTGAAGTTCTGTAACATGTTTCATTGCACGCCGATATTTATAATTAACGTTTCTTTAACTTCTGGGTCTTCAATTTTGATTATTTCTTTTTAGTTTTTTTTTGTAATGATAAAATTACATTTTTAGTAATTGTTTATTCTTTAAAGTAATATTTTAATTATTTCTACCTTGTTGTAAGCTATTATTAATAGAAATGTATGATTGTTATCATTAATTTTTTTCATCTTAACTTTTGTTTAAAGAATAATTACAATTAATATGTATTGTTGCAGGATTACCATCACCAGCATGTACATCTGGACGTCGCTCTTCGTACTCACCGAGGGACCATGCTTCGTCGCCTGCGTCGGTCGCGAGTGTTTCGCGAGTGCACCGGGGAGGCTTCAAATTCGGACTTTGAAGCCTCCCATACGCGGAAACTCGGAATTTCCGAGATCCTATGTCTCGGAAACTTCGAGTACGATTCTCGGGGTCTCCAAAATTATGGATCCTCGAGATCTATAATTTTGGAAACCACGAGAATCGTATTTCGAGGTTTCTGGGACTTAGTATCTTGGAACTTTCGAATTTTCGTGTATGGGGGGCCTCTAGTTCGAATTTGGAGCTTCCAACGTCTGGGCAAAGTCCCGGACGGTCTTCGAATTAAAAAACCTTTCGCACTAAACCTGGTAGCCGTGAAAAATTTAATTTTGTAAAAAAAATAAAACACGTACAGGGTTTCCATTCGTTTTATTTACTTCCCCGCCCGCTGTCCCCCACCCCGCTGTCCCCCCTCGCGCCCCCACGCACACATTCACTCCCGCATTCACACCGAGAGGGAGGGAAGTTGTGCGAGGAGGGGATATGAAAGAGGATGAGAATAAGAGTGAGATACGTGTGTGTGTCTGAGAGAGAGGTTAGGAATAATTCATATCCCCCCTCTCAAACACACACCCCCACTCTACATTCTCTTCCTCTTTCATGCCCTCACTCGCACACATTCTCTCCCTCTCGCATTCGCACGTGCTCGCACGCATTCGCTCCCTCGTTTACTCTGAGAGGGAGGGAAAATGCGCGATGAAGGTTATAAATAAGGGTGAGAATGAGAGTAATGGACGTATATGTGTGTCTGAGAGAGAGGGTAGGAGCAATTCATATCCCCCCTCTCGAACACACACCCTCACTCTACATTCTCTCCTTCATTTATACCCTCATTCACACATATTCTCTCCCTCTCGCACATGTTCACTCCCTCGTTCACTCCGCAAAGAAGGGTGTGAAAGAGAATGTGTGTACTTAAGAGAGGGTAGAACTTATTCATACCCCCTCTGAACACACACCCTCTCATTCTCATTCATACCCTCACTCATACATATTCTCTTCCTCTCGCATTTATTCTCATTCTTACCATCACTCTCTTCACCCTCAGCCTTTTACACATTCTCACTCTCGCACAAGTTTTCACCCTTACCTTCTTACTCACTCATACATTCTCACTCTTACTAAATTCTCACCCTTACACACATTTTCACTCCTATACGAATTCTCTCCCTCACCCTTTCATACATTTGCAGTTTCATACAAATTTTCACACTCACATAATAAACTTTCACACTCACCCTTATATTCACTCACAACCTCATTTTTCCTCTCTTTCATTCTTCCTCTTGCACTTTAATTTCCACCCTCACACACAGTTACCACTTTAATATTCTCATTTTCTCCCCAAAATAAGTCCCCTTTCCCCATGTTTTTTATTACAGAGAAATTGACAAAAAATTAATATATCAAAATGAGTTATAGTCGTAAATACCTGAATCCTAATTAAATTAAATGAATATTATCTGAACATACATAAATAAATCAATCCCTAAAATAGTTATTAATACAATACTTATATAAATTAATATACATTTCAAATAAAAATATGTCAAACAAATTACAGTATCAAGGTATCATAAATTTAAAAGATTCATTACAATACATCCGATATTTAAAAGTGGATTTATTGATTTTATTTAGCTGCTTCGTATATATTTCTCTATCTTCTTCTAAATTGTTAACTAAAATTAGTTAACGTAAAAACAATTAATTCATAAAAGGATTTCTTATTAACACAAAAGGGCAAGTATTGATATTTTCTGTAAAATCTTGGCGTTTTCAGAAGTTAATAGAAAGCATTTAACATTAATAAATAATAAGGATTAAATTTGAAAACAGTTATTTGAATCTAAAAATATTAGGAAACCAGACAATTAAATATATAATTACGTTTTAGTCTAATATAAACAACAGAGCAAGAAATAAATTAATTATTGGAAAATTACTAATAAACTGAAACGGAGAGATACATCCATATGTACAAATTTAAAAACTAACATAAAAAGTGAACAACCAAGGTAAGTACAAAAATGCAATATCTATAAGAAATTAGTGAATGTTTTGTTTTGAATTATACGTAATTTACATGCATTTAATTCAATTTAAATACTTAATGAACGGAAAATAGATAAGAAATCCTTTCAAAATGATTGATAATGAATTATCCAGATAAACTAAGTTGACAAAAATAAAAACGATCAATACTTAGCTCGAGAAGAAAATGAAAAGAGGAACAAAAAATTAATAGGAAAATATATCTGAAAATTACAATTTAATATAATAAAATGAATAACTAATTTAATAAAATTAATCGAATTATCATTTTGAATTTAAACGCCAAAGTTTAGTTCAACAAATCCACTTTTGTTACATATTTTTACAAAAAATTAAAAAATGAGTTGGTCGTTGTCCTTGAAACATGCAGAAGAACTCCATCACGATTCAAAAACGTACTCGAATATGAAAATGCAGCAAAATTGTATCCAATCTGAAACAAGTAAAGAACATTTCCAATAAATTTCAAAACTTTTACGACATACCATAACTTACCATATCGCATTTCTAACTTTTTCGAATTTTTCAGTCATCATCCAATTATGTCTAAATATGAAAATATCTGAAATAAAAGAACAACTATCATGCAACAGCTCTAGAGTAAATGGAAAGTAAAATTTCATTTATTTATCAACCAATTGTTTGTCTAAAACAATTAACTAAAGAACTCGCAACGATCGCAGTTTTTTTCTTGTTGAAAACATATTACTTTGAAACATTGTAGTACAAAAGGTAGTACTAGAGGAGAAAATTATTTAAAAAAAAAGGCACTAACTGAGACGTAATTTGGTTTCAAAAAAAGAAAGGTGGTGATAGTAAAAAATATAATGCAGATACAGTTGGAAAAAAAATGAGAATATTTAATAATTGTATGCTAATAAAAAGGAGTTTAATTAAAAGAATAATTGAGGTTTATATGGAACCAGCAATCAGTAGTAGTGAGGGTTAATCGTAAAAGTGGGGAAAAATCTGGACGAATAGAGCAGGTGCAAAGCAGGGATGTAAGTTAAAATTAAATATCAATCAATTAAGAGATGAGAAAAATAAGGGAAGGGGGTAGCAGTGGAAAGGAAAAAGATATATGGGCCATTTCATATGCATATGATATAGTGTTAGTAGCGAATAATTTTGTGGGGTTGAAGTAAATGGAAGGAAGACTGAAAAAGTATTAAATTGTGAAAAATCAATGGTTATGGAAGTTGGAGAGAAGCGAGGAAGAAAGGGAAGGGAATAAGTAAAATAGTATGGAAGGAAATAGACCAACCAATCAAGTAGTTAAAGAGAGGCTAATTATGGGTAAGGTATCAAGATTAGATCAGAAATTATTGGGGTAGGAGACTGGTGCTGTTTAATGTGATGGTGAGAGGTTTTATGTAATGGAAATATCAGGTAAGTATTACAATTAGAAAAAAGTACGCCGGATAATATAATAAGCAGGGAGACTAAATGTGGGAAGATGTGGGGAAAAGCGATAAAAAGAATAGTAAAATATGAGAAGAGGTTGGGTTCAAAAAAAAAACATGGAGGAAGAAGGTACGAAAGAAACAGGGACCAAAAGTAGATATGGTACACAGAGGGAGAGGGCGTTGAAGGAATTATCAGGAGCAGGTAAGATAGTGGCTGAGGAAAGGGATATATATATAGGGGAATCGATGAGGAACAGATGCAGGTAAATGATAAGGAGAGAGATCAAGTGGTAGGGCTGAAGGAGATTTTGTGGTAGGACTGACAAAAGGATTGGGTTCCATGGTATTAAGAAAGAGAAAGAAAAATAAAGAGCGTAGGGGATGTAAATATTGGACGAAGGAAGAGGATAGACGCTATAGTATATGTGACAGGAAGGTAGATTGTCTAAAACACGTGTTAGGAGGATATGAAGATACTAGAACTTGGGAAGAATGCTACTTAAAGTCACCTGAAAGAATGTTTAAGGAATAGGTAATAGTTTTTGTTTTTAGAACAATGAAAGAGGTGTGGCAAAGAAAGGTAGTAGAGGAGAGAAGAATATATAGATAAGATATTAATTTGAAGGGGAGAATATATAGGTAAGATATTAATAAGTGTAAGGAATGTAGCAATAAAAGCTATATATAATACACTCAGACATGTGATTTATCTGAAATTGCATTTAAAATACAAAATAAAAAACACCTATTTTTATCTTGCATTTAAATACTTTCTTGAGAAAAGCATTTTGTATTTTATTTAAAATACTTTCCAAATATATTTTCTATTTGTAAAATGCAAAATACATTTTTGCCTTTAAAAGTTTTGCNTATCTTGCATTTAAATACTTTCTTGAGAAAAGCATTTTGTATTTTATTTAAAATACTTTCCAAATATATTTTCTATTTGTAAAATGCAAAATACATTTTTGCCTTTAAAAGTTTTGCTAATATCACCGATCAAACATTATATAAAATGATGAATGAAATTTGCTCACATTGGCTATTGAAGGTATTAGAAGCTCAGCAAGGGCCAAAGAGACATTGCATGAATGCCTTTTAATTCTTTAACTGAAGAAAGCCCAAAAAATTCTAAAATCCTTGGTAATGGTTAATCTAAACTATTGGATCGATATTGTTTTCCGGGTTCAATGTCATGGTCCATGGAATTTCCAAGTTCCAAATTAAAATCACCACTCATCGTACCTTTAGCAAGGAACTGCGAAATTCTACGAATTACGACAAAACAGCCAGCAAAACAATATCCAATTGATATACGCTAGCCGTGTAAAACTGAAAAAGAAATTGTGGTGTGTTAATAAATGCATATAATCCAAAATTGTTAAAAGACGATCGAAAAACTTCACTTATTAGATGAACCCAAAGCTAAAAAAAGTATGGATTCCATTTCTTTCTCTTATTATAATATGTAGAAGATCGGAAACTAAATGGGGTTGTAAATATTTTGATATAAAATGATTGATGTTGATTTTATTTATTTGCAACCCTATTGGCTCTGATCTTTCACGGTAAATAAGTTATTTTGCAATGAGTGTCTTTTTTCCAATTAAAATGGGTGACAAAGGTAAATAAGAAAGTATATAGAAGAATTATTTGTTGCTGCATTCAAGAAACTATAAAATAAAAATAGAAAAAGCTACATCTCAATCATTTCAAACAAAAACATGAATCATACTTAATCATCGCAGCTAGTGCAAACACCACTATTAGTCTAGAAAAACTCCAATATTTAAAAAATGGGAAAATGCCTGCAATATTTCCTTAAAAAATTTTTATACTTAAAAGTAAATGTAGAAAANGTTAATATTACCTTCTGCAATTAAAAACTGTATCCAAAGGTATTAATCACTAAAACACACTATAAGCATCCTTATTCCGCATTTATTGCACGATATTTCCGCTAAAATTTAAATATTATAGAACAACGAAAGAACTACCAACAACCAATGTATTAGTTGTAACTCTCATTAACTGGGAAATCCTGGGACTCCCACAGTGTTGTCAAGTAAACCTTCAGCATGGCTTGTAAGTAGAGACGGCTGTGGTAGTACAAAAAATATTTAATTGAAAAAATAATTTTGAAAATACGTATTTTGTATTTAGCATTTAAAATACAGAAGGGAAATCTATTTTGTATTTTACATTTGAAATAAATCAAAAAAGTATTCGCATTTTTATTTAAATACTTTAAAGAAAACCAATTTCCACATCTCTAGATAGAATGTTGTTTAGATTTGAAAAACTAATTTACATACGCACAGGAAATGTTTGCAAAAAACAATTTTATTTTTCGATCAACAAGGCCAAAAAAATGAGACAGATAAATTGCAAAATATTTTGAATGAGTCGACAACTTTAAGCAAAGTAAATTTTTTGAGGTACCTCTGGGATTAGGTAAATCGATTGTTAGATTACATGTATGTAAAATTAGTAGTTTAAACAAAATAGAGTGTTTGATTCTCGAATAGTTTGTAACTTCACTAAGTGAACCAATATCTAGGTAAAAGTAACGATTTGTTACAATTACTAGAAGTATATCTATGTAATGTATACGTTTACAAATAAAAATATGAAATAATTATTAAAAATTAAGAAAACTTACATTAAGACTTCATATGCCGTGATTCAATTCCATCGACTGTTATTCTGTAAAAGAACAAACCACTTATTCAAATTCAGAAACTCAAATTCTTTCTTAATTTATGATTTAAAAATTTTCTTTAGGCTAAAAAAATATAAAGGAAAATTTAAAAAATGACCTACGTTACATATGTGAGTAAAAGGAAATTAGCGACAATTACTTACTACTGTTTTTTGTATTGCAATTTTTGGTTTTATTAATTTTTAAAATTCTAATAACAGTTTAAAAGAATGCATTTCAACAAAACCAACCATTTTAAAATCTATCATAAATTGTTATTAGTGTCGTATATAAACAGTTAATGTTTAACGCAACAAATTATAATTTAAGTTATTAAGCGATTTTAAATGTTAATTTATTTCAAAATTTTTCCATGCTATTAATGTAAAATTTATCATAATTCGCCTGTTTTAT